GCAAAGGTTAATCTTCCCGGTTATTTTTGCCACCAGCGCAAATCACAGAATTACCCTTTTATTTCAAATGAATAGGTAAACCAGGAATGCATGTCGGCTCATTTAACAGGCTCATTTCCTCTAATCAGTAAAACAAAGGCAGCGTTTGCTGTCCATTCAGGTTGGATTCATCTTATAAGTAGCAAGTATCAGAATAACAACCATGCAGGCTCCTGCTCACATACACACATACAACTATACAGCACCATGCAAAGGTTTGGACACATCCTTTCATTTAATGTTTCTATATATGTATTTTTTAAACAAGAGTTCATTTGTGGAATTTCGTGCCTTCGTAATGAGTTTGAGACCATTAGTCGTGTTGCAAGGTTCTATCCAGTGAAGACTCCTATTGGACGCAGCCAACACGGGCTCAGCAAGTTCTCAGCGCCTCTGGGACTGTTGGGAAACCATTCCAGGCGACTGGAAGACGGCCACGACTTTGTTGACAACCTTTTTTTTTTTTCACCACATAATTCCATAGGTGTTCTTTTATAGTTGGATGTCTTAAACATGAATCTACAATGTAGAAAAATAAAGAAGAGACATCGAATGAGAAGGCGTGTCCAACCTTTTGTCTAGTGCCGTGTGTACGTTGACCTGACCATTTGTTGCATGGTCACATCCTCGTTCTAACACACTCGCCTCTAATGCTCTGCTGAGGAACAGGTTTGTCAGGTATCGCCCTCCCCGGTTTGACAACGTCAGCGCCATCTTTGATTCCATTGCGTCAATTTAATAACAGAGGTGTTGGTGTTCTATATGCCGACTCAAACAGCCGGGCACAAAGAGCCAGGAACTAGGGCTGAGGAGTCAACACATGTTTACATAAGATACAGGGTTGAACACATTCCTGTACATAAGTCTTCCTGCAGTAGGAAAGAGCCATAACGTGTATTAGAATAGTTGGTGTGAATGTGTTTCTCTCTGCGAGGAAGGCCGAGCGGCTCGGAGGACACCATTTGAAACACAAAAGCAGCAACTAAGGCGATTTGCCTTTAGTCAGGAAACAGAAGCGCTCTGGTCTTGAATTAAGATGACTACAAAACCATATCAAACATGGCGACTCCTGTACAAAGAAGTCAAAAGGCGCTTGTAACATCCGTCACGTTGGTTTCCTTCCTGAGCTCAAAACAAACGAGTCCTCACCCTCACAGCAATGTTTCCAGAAACACACACGCAGGTTTCTGCTTGTTTGCATGGGAACGGTCTTGTGATCCCTGTGACCGGAGGAGGGAAAAGACAACAACACAGTGGGGCTGCTTCTGGAAACCTCTCCACTTCCTGTGCGCTCTGACCTTCCACTGTCTGCTCTTCTTTTTCTTTTTTCGCCTCCTCCTCCCCTGCAGTTGTTGTTGTTCTGCCCCCTCACTCGTCCTGCTACACACACACACCTTCCATGACTAAGCGTGCTGTGCAGTCATTGTGTGGTCTCCTCTCATTGTGTATAGATAATGTGGGGCCGGCCACATGGTGCAGAGACTCACTATGAAGTAGTGGTCTACACGCATACATTTATTATTATTGATATTTATTGTTAAACTGGCTGTTGTCCAGAGACTTCAAACAATACTTCTCCTGTAGTGCATCGACTGTTAACATTATATTGTTGACAATATATATGAACAATCAATACATCGATGCAAAGAATGTGCTTTGATCAACCTTCCGCCGGCTTCTGTCCTTGCTGCCGCGTCCCCTCCGGGGAGCCCACCTGGGCCAAAAGCCTCTGCAGACTAACGACAGGAGGGAAACAACAGTCCCCCCCCCCCCTCGTCCCCCCCGCCTCATCACCCACTGACCCTGAGGCAGCAGCAACACAGGGGAGGACACATCTGTTGAATTAAAGTACCCAATCGTTGAAATTTGGTCTTGTTTTGTCGCTTTGGTTCCTCCTATGGTGGACTTTTTAAAACACTTTTTTCCGCTGTATCCAACCAGTCATACAGAGACTAAAAGAAGCTGGATTAATAGAAAGTTAGGAACCAAAAATAAACTATTTTATAACAAACAAATAAACAGGAGGCTGAAATAACGGCCTCACAACGCTGACTTTTAAAAAAGGCCTCAAGTCATGCTTCGCCAGGTGTGTCCTCACGACCATGAGTTGACATGTAGGTCAGGGACACATCAGCACACTGATGACCTGCAGTGTCTTAAAAGTGATACGAGATAACGGTATTATTGCCCACGCATGAGTTGTATCACCTGTACGCTGTGAACGCAGCATTCACTCCTTCAATTCATCAGAACTCTGAGCTTCTCGTGTGTCACCAACATGTTGATATGAATCTTAATATACGTACCGGTGCATGAGGACATAAAGGCTGAGGTGCTGCTAAACCAAGGACCCTCAAACAAGGGACGTATTGACGTGCATTTATGGGTGATGATGGTAGTTAGCATCATCCACAGGTGCTGACAGAGAACAACGCCAGGTGTCCGGATCTCACGGACAACTTATTGTGTGTACTGCATTTCATATTTTGTCTTTAAATACGACTTTAAGTCATTAAAGTGCACTGCTGAGGTGTAAATGGTAATGTGGCAGTCTGTCGGTTTGGGTCTCTCTTTAACAGCCAGTGTGTTTGCTGTTGTTTGCACACATGCTCTGAGGTGATGCTGCTACCTAAAGGAATACAGGTGCATGTTTACAATGCATCGAGGTAAAAATCCCCCCCCAATCCCTCCCTAACTGAAATGTCTAAATGGCCCCTATGATTTCTGCTGAACAGGGCAATGTGTGTGTGTGTGTGTGTGTGTGTGTGCGTGTGCGCGTGTGCAGTGGTAACAGGAACGCGCGCACACACACTTTGGAAAGAGCTGCCCTGAAAGAAAACATGCTGGTGGTGGAATGTATCGGATGTCTGTCCCCTTGTGAAAAAGAAGACGACAAAAAGAAGACCCGTGAAAAAGGCCCGTGAGCTGGAGCCCAGTGGGTGCTGAGCTCAGCACTTTCCCCTACCGCCTCTAATTTCGGGTGTTGAAGTGTTTTTACTTCAATGAATGTCATAGAAGTCACTTTGTGAGGCCACTGGGCTCGATGGGTTGAAAACGTTTTGATAAAAAGGAAACCGCAGCAGTGTCCCTCCTTACTATAACCCCTGCATACTGAGACGCTGCTGCTGCCACACGGTGGATGACCGGGTGCAGAAGGTGTGCAGAAGGTGTGAAGTGTCCCCAGACTCATCTCTGTATCTATGACAACGCCAGCTCCTCTGCTCTCTGTTCTGCTTTCACTTTCGCTGGAATTGCATTTATGATTCATCAGCATCTTCTAAAAACATATCAAAGCGCTCGGCTGGTCATCAGCTGCAACATTTAGTTCCCCTTTAAAAGCCGTTCAGGGATAATGAAGATTCTCTGTAGTCCATCACCAACAGCTGGCCAGATGTGGAATCTGGTGGTCACTAAAGAGTTCTCTCTGGAAAAACTGCTTTCTCTCAACCTCCCTGTTGTGCCATCCATGTTTTCTACTTTTCGGTTAGTGAACACATCTCTTTTGTATTGTGGTACAATTTAGGCCGCAATTTTGAAGCAGGTCTTGTGACAGATTTTATCTGGTCCACGACTGCAGAACGCCAACGCTACACGTCAGCTACTGAAAGAAGAACTTGTTTTCGGCATTCTGGAGAAAAACGCTCCACAATGCGAGGACAAGCACAAGCAGTGTCACCTGGTTCATGTTGCTTAAAATGACTGTCATCTCACACCTGTGTGTTAAACCGGCCCGTTGGCATCCTAAACCTAACCCCCCCCCCCTCTCCCTCAAGATCCACCACAACAGGATATGGCCGGACGGCACAGCAGGGTTCTGGCTGTGTGGGGACATGTCGAGGCAGGCCGGGGACAAAGCAGGAGAGACAGAGCAAAGAAGCAGGAGAGCGATACCATCTCCAGGCGCACCGAGACAGGGGTTGGGTTTGCCTCAGCCCACACACACACACACACACACACACACACACACACACACACACACACACAAATGTTCCCGAAACCCAACTTTCTTTTGCCGCTACGGGAGAATTGTATTGTATCAATTTATTTCCAGGGGATTATTTTCCATGGAGAGGTCTTATCAGGAAAGCACCCGACACACGGGGGAAACAAAGTCTGAGCAGATGCTGAGAGGTTCGGGGGAGGAAGAGTAGAGCGGAGCCTGGGAGGAAGATATTTTTAGGCTGTGCTCAATTGGGATGCTTAGCATAAACTTAGTGTGGACTGAGGGACTAAGCGAGCCACATCCTCAGAACCTACAGTCCTTCCTAGAGTGTTTGGCAGCATCAGTCCAACCCGGAGCAACCATCAGCTCGACCCCTTGGCTCGATCAATCTTATGTGTGTAGGGGGGGAGGGGGGGTGTAGAGAAATCCTCATCAGAGACACTGCAGTTTAACAAGGTTAAACAAGCACCTACAGGACTGCCCTGTCACCACCCCGACGGCATCAAAGTCCACAGTGGGAGTTGTGACAGTGCCTCGTCTTGGGTTTCTGACCCCAGCTCAGAACTTTGTCTTTTGGGCCGTCGACAACGCGTTACTGCTGCGCCTCAGCCTACATGGAAAGTCACATGACTGAGCTTCCCACTAAAAACAATGTTTTCTTCTACCATCAATGTACTGATCTTGAATAAATAGATAAGTATTACCCAGAGACAAAGGCTTGGACTGTACCATTTATGGCACAGGATCAAATGTAGAGGGATTATCCAATTTGACAGAGTTGGAGTTAATAATTCTACCGGAGCACGCCACGCCGAGGGAGTTAAAAAGGTTGCCTTTGTTCTAGATGTGGCCTTGTGAGTGTGTGTGTGTGTGTAGCACACAGTGTTCGGTCACTGCCATGGTGCGCGTTGCACACCCCTCAGCAGGGCCGGTAACTACGCCCAGGCCCACCACGGTCATCCATCTGACGGCAACAATGGGGGAGGATTGGCTCGCACGGTTGGGCCGGAAGACTTACTATTGTTGGACTTCAGATCCCGATGGATGACGGGGACGATGGCCTCGCAGTGGAGGTACAGCATCCCTCTGGCGATCTGCACGGCCCAGTTGACCAGGATGTGCGGGGGTATCCGGCGGCCGGCCAGCGCCCGGCTCAGCGGCCCGCCCGACGCGTACTCCATGATGAGGCACAGGTTGGGCTCCGCCAGGCAGACGCCTTTCAGGGAGATGATGTTGGGATGCGTGAGCATGGCGAACAGACGCGCCTCCTGCCGGACGTTCTGCGCCGTCACACTGATATCCTCGTCCGGGTCCTGGCGGGCGGCCTTCACGGCCACCAGGCCGCCTCTCCACGTACCGCGATAAACCTTCCCGAAGCCCCCGACCCCGATGACCTCCTCCAGGCTCAGCTCTCGGAAGTCCAGGACGTCGGGTTCGAACTGGGCGACCACGGCGGGGCTGAGCTCGCCGACCACTTCTGGGAGCTTCCCATACTCGCTGGGCTTGAAAGAGCCGTAGTTGGACGGGAAGATGCCCACCTTGTTGTTGACTTTCCCCGCCCACCAGCCCTCGTCCCCCGATATCTCAGAGTCCAGGGACAGGACCTCCACGAGGTCGCCCTTACGCAAGGTAAGCTCATCTTTGCAGGACGCCTCGTAGTCGAACAGGGCCGTCCACACGGGGTTCGTGAAGTTGCCTTTTTGCGAGGCCTCTAAATTCTTCCAGTTGGACAGGTGGCCACGACTAAATATGTTCTTCAGTGGCTCCATGGAGCCTCCAGCAGATGTCTACACCGGATCGGATTGTGCGCCGCAAAGGGTTGGAAAATAAAGTACAAAGGAGTACTTTATTGCGCCTCGCTCCCTTTCCTGTCTGTCTTGTTGGTTCATCAGGGACCAGCGAAATGTGTTCAGAAGCTCGACCAACGGGCGGGCGGCGTGAGAGGAATCAGAGATGGTTGAGCGGTGGGAGTCTCTCATCTGTCTGGACATTACATGCACAGCCTCACAACCCCACCCCCTTCACCCCCTACACACTGGAAAACACAGGATGCACGATTGGAGGAGTGTTGTGTTCAGGGGTCAGAAAGACAAGAGTCTGTCTCCTTTCAAGTGACGCGTAGAGTCCCCAACATGGCTGGAGCACACGGTCCCTTCAGCTCTCCTCCTCCTCAGTCAGCCACCTGTTGAGTCTCGGAGGACCGGTGTGCAGAGACAATGATGGCACTACCCAGAGTTTGTTGGACAAAATAACTTCAGAGTTCCTAACGACGGTTCAGCTGTCCATCTGAAGCTTTTTGTGTATTTTTAGCCATTAAGTGCGGCGGCCACCACAAAGCAGGAAGCGCAGCGAGGCGGAGAAGAATAGCAGGAAAAGGAGCATTCAGTCCTGCCAGTGTTTTAAGGACAAGTTCCAGGGCTCAGCGAGTTAGCAGACGGAGCTCTCACAAAACCGCGTCGGACCGCAAATGTGCGGCGCCCCCGCAAGAAATCCCCGCATCCCGTCGGGCGACGGTCTCCATTCCGGCGGCGTTATCACACGCACGCGGCGAGCTGGGCTTTCTCGCGACACAAACACGTAGGAAGCGACAGCTTTTGGAACAGGAAGAGCTCTCCAGAGCCCGCTTCACTTCCCGCAGAGGCACGCGCAGCGGAGACGGGTCCCGTTAGTTCCCTGGTCGGGGTCCAGCGCGTGAGCTCGCGCGGTTCCACTCGGGGTCCAAACGGCGCAGCAACTCCATCGTGACTTCTTAGAATATTGCTCTTCCTCGCTCGTCCGGACTTTGAGCAACTTCTACGTCTGCTTACAGTCAGCAGAGGGTGTGGTTTCAAAACTTCTTTCTCTCCCGACAGGAAAAGAGTCAGATGACGGTGAAGTGACGTGCGGTACGCAGTCACGTATCCGGTTGGGGCTGTCAAAGTAAATCGCGAGTCAGAAGCGAAGGTTTTAGATGCGAAAGGCTGGGCACTTATTATACGTGTGTGATTATTAAGCGAGCTCAAATCATACTACATACTTTTGTTAAAACCGATTGTATGGTTAAATACAAGTATATTGTGCATGTTATGGACGAGAATGCAGATACATAATTAAAAAGAGGTCACTAAGTATGAAGTATGTGATCACCAATTCATATATATATATAATTTCCCTCATATATATATATATATATATATATATATATATATATATATATATATACACATCCTGATGCGGATGCACCACTGATTTTAAGCACAGTGACGTATCCTATCAAGTTGTAGCAACGTTTCAGACTTGAAACTAAAAGGCACAATTTTACAGTGCAACGGTTTTTTCAGTAAAGGTGAATCATATTGTTTTGGTAGCTATGGATTAGTTATAAGGTGCTTGTCTGCGAGCCATCTATTGAGAATTCAAGACTTTTATTTTGAATGTATTTTTTCCATGAATATTTTTCCTGCTAAGTGACGCTAACAATCACAACTGATTCTTGGCTCGAAAGTAAGCAGGTCAAAGTAGCAGAAAGCTACAATTCAAGGGAAGTGCTTACCTTCAAATTAAAACAATAAACATTATACTGGTAGGAATCACCATGGTGTTGAAATAAACAAGACGTGAATGTTTGGGATTAAACATTTAATTTTTTATTGATATTCTCTTTACCACAACACACAATTTAGCAAATGTTTTATTTATAAACGTTAAATCTATACACTTGAGAGGTCCTACTTGTTAAAATCACGGTTGAAGAGGTTTCGGTAGGAACAGGTAACCTGAAAAGGAAAAATGCTCAAAAATATTTGACAAAGGGCAACAGACAGTTGGAAATCAGGAACAGGAAATCTCCTGTTCCTGATTTCCAACTGGTATCCAACTGTCCAGGCATTTTTGATGCAGCCACATATGTATTTACGTTTCAGTGGTTGTTGTTTTTCCACTGTATTAAAACATTTGTGTTTTGTATTCCACATGGTTTGCCTGAATCCAGGCTATTAAGCTCTATTGCTTCCTCCACTGATTACAATTAGCTCCCTCCTGCTACTCACTATCACATACTGCTATCAGCATATTAAATGGTCCTCCTCTTGAATCAGTTCAGATATTATGATTCAGTGACATTTAGCTCAAACACTCAAGGACAGTGGATCATTAAAAAATGTCCCCCGTAGTAAAGTTTTTAATTTAAGGATTACGAGTTGCCGCTTCCTGTGAGGAGGGATTTGTTGTCTGGGGTACAAAAGACAACAAAAGGAGCTTCAAGCCTAAAATCAAGCAACACATGAACACCCGTTGGCATGTAGCTGCTTTAATGTTCAGTTTGATGGGCTACTTGCTCAACCAGGGTTGAAAAGCTGTGAAATTTCCCTCATGGAGTCAAATCTACTGCTGCACGGTTCTACTTAAGATCAAAGTCAAATGGCTCATTTAAAAGTTTCCAAAGCGAGTACTTTAAGTCCCACTTTTCTATCATGAGGACACAAAGGTTCAACCAAGTAGATCTGCAGATTCTCTCAATGAAAAATTACACTTCCTCCTGTGATGCAATGTTTTCTTCAGTGTGTCCCAGCCTGACCCAGAATCTCTTGAGCTGCAGATATTAAAGCTAAAGGGTCAAAGTTTAAGGTGCCCCATTATGAGGAAGTACTGCGTCCATATTGAAAACAGGAATACGTACTTTAAAGACAGCTGTAGAATGTACTAAAAGCACAAAACTGGAACGCAGCTTAAATTACAGCATTTTAGCTGTCTCATAATGATTTCTACAAAGAAGAAAACATAAGTTATGTTTTGGTAAAGAAGTCTCAATCAAAAAATAAATAAATGACACGTACGTGACCCTAAGTGGACTGAGTGGACCGTCCTCACAGGTAGAATGACTGTGTTCTATCTCGTCTGTGTGGGATCGTCCTCTCGTCCTGCAACTGGTGTACGGCTGTCGTCTTAACCGGGTCGCTCCTGAAGCCAGTGGGGCTCGGGGACTGATGGGGGTCGGAGATGGATCGCTGCAGACAGAAGGTGAATGTCGGGGCAGCAGCAATGGGCGGTGTTAACAGAGTTAACCCAGCGCACCATGAGGTTAAAATGAAGACTCTTTGATGGCTTGTGGCTCAGGTTTGAATTCACTTAGCTTAACCAAAACTTCACAGTAGTCATATTAAAGCGACTATTGAGATGAGGAAGAATTGATTTCAAATTTGGCTGTAAAAAGTGTTAAATAATCTACATAAAGGGACTAAATATCCAAACAGTTTGAGAGCCACTGGTTTAGAGGTCAGTGACTCCGTCTGACCTTTGGCCCCTGCGGCTCGCTGTGTGGAAAACAGTGTGCTTCCTTCTGTCAGCCCTTTGATGGCCGCCCCGACCCCCCTTGTCCCATGGCGGACAGTTTGTTTGGACACCAACCTCCTAGTCCACTACCTACAGCCCCCTAACACACACACACACACACACACACACTGCTGAGTCAACGCTTCTGCAGGAAGGATGCAGTTGTGTTTGCGCCCCGGCTGAGGGTTGCTTGGTCGGTGGGGGGACGAGGGGGGTAGACGGGAGAAAATGGACTGTTTGAAAACTGTAGAAAGATGGAGGAATGGGGTCCAAGTAAGCCGGTTACTTGCTCCATGTATGTGTGTATATATATATATATATATATATATATATATAAAATCAAAATAAAGACAATAAATAAAAGAAAGCGAAAGGGGGGACATGTTGTTCCTCAGAGACGTTGAATCTTCCTTCTGGTAAACCGAGCGCCGTGGTTAACGGTGAAGGTCGTAGATCGGCCTGATAACGAGAGCCGCTCAGGGAACACAACGAGCCCAAACAAGGTATGCTTTTTTTAAATTGAAATATGAACTTTATTTCACCCATACAAAATAAAAAGAATGTTAAAAGTTTACAATACAGTGTCAACTTCAACTGTGTATTCGGAAACATTTCATACTGAGACTGACGCGTGAATGGGAGCCCCATCTCGTTCCCCATTGGATACATTTAAAACAATCTAAAAGAGGTGGGGAGGAAAAAATGCTCAAGATAAATTTGGGTGACGTGAATACAAATGAGAGAGGACAAAAGGAGACAAACAACTTTAAAAACAAAGTTATGGTCCAAGAGTCACAGTATACTTCTGATGGGGAATTTAATAGTCGTGTAAAGAAAAAAAAAATACAAGACCCAACTGCCGGAGCAACTGACCCCCGACAGCGTGAGAAAACCCCCCCCCAAAACAAAGATGATTAAACCGCTGATATGGTTGACTTCATGGCTGTGGTCGTGGTGGAGGTTCATAGTTCTCTTGATAAAAACGTGAATTAAAAATAGAAAACCAATTCCAGAAAGCTGTGGTTTAGCTAACCTACAGTAAAAATACACCTGCTTCCTTGTTTATGTTACAGCCGGGCTGATATGACAGACAAAGGCGGGAAGTACACGTTCCCAACGGCACTACTTCCAGCCAACGGCACACTACTCCTCCCAGCCTGCGAGTGAGTATCAGAGGCCGGCTCGCGGCCCCACGGCCCGCTCTGCCACTTACAGGAGACTTTTCCAACTTGTTTGTTCCCTTTCGTGAGTCTATAACGGAGGACTGGGGAAGAAAGAAAAGTGCCAAAAGAAAAAGAAAAAAAAAGCTACAAAGCAACACAAACTACACCTATCCGGTCTGCGGGGGCTCACTGCAAAAAGAGTGACTGCCATTTTTCTCTTTTTTTTTTTATAGTCAAAATTGAACAACTGACTCGTTAAAAAACATCCTCATTTAATTCTCTTCTACAATAAAAAAAAAAATCTTTAAAAAAAAAGAAGTAAAATTTAAACACAATGTACAACCAGTTTTGTGTGTCCTGCGATGGCGTCTCTTTGCCTCCAGGGGGGGTGATGAAGAGTCTTTCCCTCCTCTGCAAGGAGCAGCCGCCGCAACAACTTAGCAAATTGAAAATAATGTTGTAAGGGGTACGTGTGTCTGTGTGTGTGGCAGGAAGAGGAAGAGGAGGGAGCTAAGAGTCATAGTCTTCGTCGTCGTCCTCATCGTCCTCGTTTTTGTGTGGCTCGGGGGCCGGGGGCGGCGGTGCGAAGGCCATACCGCCCTGGGGCTGTGCGGGAGCCATGCTGCCCATTTGCATGTACTGGGGGGGCGCGTTTGAGCTGCGGGAGGGGAGGGGATCAGGCAGATGTGTAAACCAGATGTTAGGAAACAATCAAGTTAAATACACCCAGTTAAACATCAATAAATCAATGTGGTGCCATTTCTTATTTAGGGAATCTCTGCAACAATCGGCACTATTTGCCAAATCAACACCACATTCTATTAGTCTGAACATAGACTAAAGTATTCACCACTTCAATTCTTCCACTTTTTGTTCCCAAATGGATTGAATTCATTTTTTTGCCAAAAAATACCCCATAATGGCAAAGTGAAAAAATCCTTTTTGCAATTTGATTGAAAATGTACATAAATATTCACAGCCAAATAAACAATTTTAGTCTTGCCTTTTTCCTTTGCATTGCAGTGTTAGTGTTTGTAAACTCTTTTGCCCTGGTGCACCTCCAGGGAAGCGGTCTCTTCCTCACACACACATTGAGTAATGTTTTTTTAAATACCCATCTGCAGAAAGCTAGAAAGCTGCGCTCTTGTCATTCGATTTTTATTAATCGGATAATGATATTAAATAATAATAGACCTAGATTGGGGCCGTACCTGTAGAACTTGGATGCGGTCTGCAGAGAGCCATCCTCCTCGTCCCCATCGGTCTCGCTCTCTTCAGAGTCATCCTGTGTGCGCCAGAACAAATGCAGCAGTCAGCCAGTGACGATCAGATCGTTCTGCTTGTGATGAGCATTTCTCTTCTATATGTAATTCTAGTGTTCCAAAAGGAAAGCAGGATACAACTAGACCCCCACCTCTTGCTCCGACTCTGTACCAGACAACTTCTTGTCCTTGCCTTTGGAGCCAGCTCCACCATTTTTACGACCAGACCCTGGTTTTCTACCCCTGGTGGTCAGAAAAATGGAAAAGAACAAAACGTTATGTGAATCGTTGAGATACAGACGGGGGAGGAAATGTAGTCAACACTGCTGGGGAAATTACTTTCAGCAACTTATGATCAAAGGGACAGTTTCTTTGAAAAGCTTAGACTATGCGTGTAATTATTGGGAGCTTACGGGTACTTTAAATTTAATCTGAAATAGGTTCATTTATGTTGACAGACAATTCTCTGCAATGTTTTGTTTTCTTTCTGTGGTTAATCCACAATCATGGGAACAAAAGGAAGACAGTGTTAAAGTAAAAATCGGAAGGATGACAAACATTTTGCTTTGCGCAATTTCTTTTAACAGTAGCAGTTGTTCCTGGAAAAGGCAGCAATAACTCTCCCTGAGTCATTACAAGGAGTCGAGTCCTGTTGAGTGATTCACTTCCAAATTCTGTGGGTGGATGTGCTTATCAGAAAAAACCCACATGGGTCGACAAATCAAGCGTTCAACAGGATTAATGAGTCAGAATCAGGAGTCCACATGGAACAAAACCTTTCGCGAAGTACCGAACGCTTCACTGCGTTGACTATAGAACGCCACGGCGCCATAGACCCTTTAACAGTATGCTGTTAGTCAACGGGACGAAGATGTTACCCCATGGCACAGACTCTGCCTGAGCTTTTTAAAATGTACAAGTTGGCACTCCATAGGGGAGCAAAATTCATCAGCCGGGTTTAATGGTAATTTACAGGACCACATTAGACCGACACATTTCTGCTTTGAAAGGGTTGAGACCCCAGAGCATCAGCCAACTTTTAAAATATTGATTCAGACGAATATAAAAAAAAGTTTCAATAAAGGACTTAAAGCTTGCTAGTCCGTAGGCATGACCAGAGCAAAGCAACTTCTCCTGACACGCGTATATGTGGTGACAGCGGCCAGAAGCCAGTTTAAACCTACATGTTGCTGAGAGAGAAAGAGAGACCGAGACACAAACACACATACCTGCGTGGTACTTTTTCTCCTCCCCCCTCCGTGTGGTTCTCATCCCCCTCGCCCTGCATGTCCGGTACCGTAGCAACCAGGTCTTTCAAGAAATCAAACTGTTGCTCCAGCTCAATACACTGCTTTCTGTGGAAACACAACTTGTAGATCAGTACATTGCTCGCCCTGCAGACGTAGGTGCTTTCTGAGTTGATTAAAAAGTATTAATGTCTCACACACACAAAAAAAAGTATGTGAATGGCAACTGTATAATCATTTCAAAAGGAAGTAAGCATCTTTTCAGATTAACATGTCCAAAACCAAATCACTTTAATATGGATTCCTGTTATTATTCGGCTGCCTGATTCACATCTGTTGTAGGTCGGTCCTAATGAACAGTGCAGGGGACAACCCCCCCCCCCCCCCTTTAGAACTAGTCCAACTCCAAAACATTGCAACAAAGAGCAGATTGGTTATCAAGACGCACACCGATACGGAAACTTACAGATGCGATGTTGTCATCGTCTTTGCATTCCTAGACTGGGTGACTTGACAGGCCTTTGTAAGCAAGGATTCCAAAAAAAGCTCCAGGGCTCTCGCTGGCATCTTAAATTAAGGAAATTACGATGCAGGAGGTCTGTGTTCATTATTTGAAATAAAACCAAAGAGAATGTCGATCCACAGCTTGTAGAGAGTCAAGCTTGGAAGGAATTTTTCCATTATGGATTCCTAATGTCTTAAATGTTTGTCAATGAACTCATAGTTTAGACATTGTGAAATATATTATGCACATTACAAGTTCCCAAAATGCCTTAAAATATCTGCTTTTCTCTGGACATCATTCCACAAACCGATACAGATATCCAGTTTAAAGTTATTGAAGAAAAGCAGCACATCGTGGCATTGGAAAAACTCAAACTAGAAAGTGTTTTGTTTGCTTTAACAGATTAATAGGTGATACGTGGTTCTGTGAATGGTCTGGTAATATCAAGGGATTGTTTCTTAGTACAATGCCCTGAAAATAAATGAATCGTACAATCCGTATAAATGAATTAACACATGCGGACGACCGAAACCGTGGGATATGCAGAGAGGAGATTTTGGGCAAGAAGGATACAAATAATAACAGGTACTGCTGCAGCCACTTTGCCTATTTCTTCATCTGTCTGCATGATCTTCTTAATCCGTGCCTGGAAGGTGGAAAGAAGAAGAGTTACGTCTGTTTTGCTTGGACAATGCCTGTTAAAACATTTACACAAACTTGGACTTTAAATGAAATTTCTGTATCAATGGCCAGCCCTTGTTAACTAAATTGACTTAACAATCACAACACATTTTGAGATCGTTGCGATCATATAAACAACTTCAATGGCATGCACGTTTTAAACTATACATTCCCGGCACAATGAGGAGATATTCTACAGTCTATGCACTGCGACTATCTCAAAAGTTTGCTAAATGTTCCCACACAAACAACAGATAGCTCAGATGTAACAGCCTTCAGCCTCGCTTAGCTTGACATGCTAAAAACAACGAGAACCGGTGGAGCCGCTAACTTGCGCCGCACGGCTCAAATGTACCAAAGCAAAGTCCCCGGGTGGAAAGTAAGTTAGTCTATTGCATAAAAGCAAACGAAGTTGGTGCCGTGGCACTGGGACATTCAACATTTGAGCGGCACAGGCTCGCTTTAGCTGGTTGGTTTGTGAGCACTCTCGGCAACAAAATAGGCCGAATTCCAGTTGAGCTAAATAAGTTAGCTTTCCTCCATACAGTTTGCTAACGTTGTACAGTCTTCACACCGGGTACAGCCCAGTTTAAACTTACCGGAGGGAATCTGGCGTTGTATTTCTTCTTCTTGCTAGGCATAATTAAATCACGTAGGTGGCTAACTTAAAATAAAATGCAATATATACTGGATATTGGTCTATATCATACATAAATCACCTCCCCCTCACACACAGTAGACAGCGATAGCTCCCAGCTAGCTCGTTAGCACATCGTCAGCCGTTGCCTGGCCGGTCCGCCTGGTTCCGCAGGGTCACAGCGCCGTCATTTTCGGTGCCACTTTGTACAGAAGTTTAATGTACAATTACGTTACTGTTATTTTTAGCTAATAATGTTAATTAATTACATGACATTAACGATGAGTAATTCAGTGTTTGCACATTGTATTGTAATTTAATTAACAGTTAAATAGATCAGGAGGTTAGGTTAAACAGAATAGGGAAAAACTCCTCTGATTTGTCATTAAAACTTCAGAACCATTCGACTTCATTTCCGTCTTAGGTCATTCGCCATAATAGACAAAGCAAGTTTGTATAGTCAACAGTGTTTTCATTTCGATCTCTGATCTCGAGGACATGTGAAATGCAGAGTTCAGAATTCACCGCACCGCGACGTGGCACAAACCCCGACGGCGGATACCTTCACCCAGTGTTGCCAATTTAGCAACTTTATTGATAGATTCAGCAACTTTTCCAGTGTTGGGCCCTTGCAACCTTTTTATTGAAAGCAACTAGCGAATTTAGCTATTTAGACATATATATATGTCACTTTTAGCAACTTTTTTAAAGTGCCTCAAATGCTAAAATACACGCAGTTTCCCTCTAAATTACACCAAAAGAACATGTGTCTGGCTGCAAAAGTATATTGTGAGGGGCTTTAAAAGCAGGCTGAGCGCTGCAGTGCGGAGACAGCTGGAAGGAGATGTCTGGTTCACACGCCATTATTTGAGTTAAGTTGCATGTTCAATAAAAAAACAAAAACAAAAACATGTCACATCATATTTTTGCCGCGATGCACAGTCAATTTGAGTAACGTTAACTTGTATCCTACGAAATGACGCAGTTTTCGTTAATACGTAATGACGTCATCACGCAAAGACATGACAACGTCATTTAGCGACTGGACCTCAAGCAACTTCCCCGGATATTTTGTTGGCAACACTGTCGCCACAAGCCGAATTGTGCGGAGGAGCAACACCGGACAACCAGACCCAACATCCTCGGGTAGGTTTGGAGTCTGTGACCAGGTGTTATGATTCACCACGTCTTCATGGACGTTGTGAACTGTCTGTAAAGGGATGGAAACTCCAAATTAGTCAAGAAGACGAACATGGTCGATCGGCTAGTTAGCTGGCGAGCGACAATTAGGATGACGGGTCAATATAAAACTTCGTGTTTTGCCAAACCGCGACTGTATACTAAACACAGACGAAGTGGATAGACCTTTTATTATGATTTGTTAAAATGATAAGTGATCGACGCACGTTAGCTATTGAGCAGTTGTTGCTAATGCGGCAGGCTAACGTTAGCAGGTGGCGTTAGCAGCTCTAGTAAAAATCCCCAATTCCCCAACAGCACGAGCTCTGCAGCGCCGACGCCGCCATGGAGGAGGAAGGGGCCCCCGTAGAAGGCGAGGCGGTGACCCCCTTCGCCGCGGAGACTTACGCCGCGGAGGCCATGGCTGCCGACATGGACCCGTGGATCGTGTTCGACTCGAGGAGAACGCCCAGGTCCGAGTTCGACGCCTGGCTGGAGAACAACGGGCCCTCGCAGGTGAACCGGTTTGGCGATGAGAAAAATGGCCTTAGTCCGGTGGGGTGGATCGCAGTGCTGGGCCTGGACCACTGGCCCAGCAGCGGGGATGTCGCGGGTCTCCAGGAGAGCTGGGAGAAACTTTTGGCCAGCGGCCGGCCGGTCAGCTTCCAGACCGTGAAGGAGCTGGCCCTGAACCACAGGGTGCTCTCGGGCAAATGGCTGATGCACTTGGACTCTGGTTTCAAGCTGGATCACGCCTGGGAGTGTGTTGCCAGAGCAGCCCTGGACGGCAAGATCTCCCTGGTCAAAGTCAGCCCACACAATCCCAATGGTGAGGGCAAGCAGGTCATTTGTGCCTACAACCAGGACTTCACCGACGAGAGCGAGGTGGTGCGGCTGGAGAACGTCATCCGTGCCACAGGGGTCAAATGCGGCCTCACCTACAAGCCAGACGTGTACACGAACCTGGGAATCTACCGAAACAACCGCTGGAAACTGTGTCCAACCATTTATGAGAGCAAATTTGACCTGGAGCGCGTGCCACGGCGTTCCCACATTATCAGCAGAGTCACCAATCTGGAGGTGACATAAGCCTGTTGGAACGGCAGGATTGTTTTGGAGAATGAGTAACTGGAGAGGAGCCAGGCTGTGCAGTTCATCAGTGTCGGTGGTTGAATTTTGATAGAATTTCTTCCTTTTGGCCAAAAAGAACAACAACGTAGCATTAGAATTATTTCAGTCTTGACTATATTTCCAATTGACCGTAACTTTTTTTTTTGTTGTGATTATGTTCAAGTATTTGTGTTCTCGAATGTTTGGTTGACACCTACATGAAGAAATCTTTGTAAGCACAGAGGAAAATGTTTTGTTTACATTAGTTTGCTCAGTGTTGCCAAATAAAACCTACTTTTGAAGACCATCTTATTGTCGTGGTTTTTATTGCAAGGAAAAGGGTTTTGGGGATTTTGACAGAATCATTAATTACAGCAAGAGTGCATATACTATAAGCGGCTTACATCATACAGTACATCATCACAAGACAGCGTTATCTTTCACTACAGCAAATTAGGCCGACAAAGTGAGCTCGGATACAGCTTCACTGCTATAAGCATGCACTTGTAAATGTTGTTTTTAACTTCTGTGTAGACCTCAATTCAGTTCAAACTAAAATTAAGGTCAGTAACCGCCGACCTTCAGAATACATTCCAAAGTAATTCATGGGGATATTAAATCACAAGGACGATGGGATCATTTGCATAGACGAGCCTCAGACCTAATTACCGACCGCTTTGTTTGAAATTAAAAGGCACACCAAATGTACGCATTTCAGAGTGAATTACAGTAACACTGATGGGAGCTACCCAAACAGCTTCAATGGAGAGTACATGAGCATGGCGAACGTTCCACAGGAAAGGATCTGAAGAGGCCCCTAGCAGAGCATCTGCTCCGACTGCTTTTAAGAATTGACTCCTAACAAGGCCGATGACATTTCAAAACAGTCCTGTGATATCATTTGTCAGTTAAACTTTATACAGAGAGCAGGTGAAGCCCACAAATTGAACAGCATAAAGACCCTTTGATGGGGGCCTGAGAGCGGTTTTGCTACATTCTGCCTCTTAAAGCTCTATTAGATGTTTAAGTTCCAAACTTTAAAAAGGCCAGATTCGAGTGGTCTATGTAAATATGTCCGTTAAAAAAAAAAAAATCCCATCCACACTTTTTTTTTTTTTTTTAAGTTGGGTGTCCTGAGACAAACCCAGCTTGGCTTCCACTGTTAAAAATGGAAATCAGGCGGTCCTCGTCAGCCGACATCAACTCGTCAAACTCGTCCAGCACAGCGGGCCGTTGGTTCATGTTGCCGGATGTGATGTCAATCATGCCTTCGTTCTGGAGCAGGTGGACGATGCTGTTGGGGTAATTCATCCAGGTGCTCCCTGGCATGCTGCCAGGGTCGGAAATGTTCTGGGATGCCGTGGTGGCAAAGCTGGGCGCGGCGGCCTGCTGGCACGAAACCTGCGGCATCATCGAGGTGCCGTTCCCGCACTCGTTCAGGAGGTTGGGATTCAGGAGGTCCTCGAAGTCATCCATGTTCAGCTGGTCCAGGGTGCCTTGTGCCTGCGCTTCGGAAAAGCTGGGGAACTCTGGGATGTCGTCGTCCACCATCGACGACAGGTGGGGAAAAGAGCCGCCGGCCTGTGAGGAGGCCTGAGAAGATGCGGTCTCCTGGACTGTAACCGAGGACGCCGGGAAGAACTGATGGAGGTCCGACAGGTTGACGGTTGAGTATTCCTGGTTGGCAGTGGACGTGGTGGTAACTGGGCAGGAGGCTGGGACCTGGCTCATTGTAAAGTTAGGCACTTTGGGGCCCAGGTTCAGGCTCTCCATGATCCTCCACGTTGGGTTTGTGGTTGCGGTGGAGTTGGAGGCCTCCACCTTGGGCTGGACCGGGAACAGCCGATCCCGTGAATACAAGTACGGCTGGGGCTTCGCTGCACTGGCACCGGGGGGCGGCGCCGCTGATGGAGACACACACAAGTGTTACTGCAACACGTATTCAAAGGCCACCTCGACGTCTTCCATACAAATAAAGCAACAGACTCACTAGCTTGTGCGTTCTTTGATTGAGAGTTGGGGGCGGTGGTCCTCCTTATCGGGACGATGTGGGGTCTTTCTTGTGGCCCAGTCACTGAATTTAAAATGGACATGGTTACATTACTTTTCAACAACAAAAAAATTATATACTTTCTTATAAATACTGCGGCGCAATCAACGTACCACTAGATAGCATGGAGCCCAGCTTCAGGCCCTGGAAAATGTCTCGTGTACACTTTCTCTTGTCACTCAGCCTGTATTCATCTGAAGGGGAGCGTATTTAATAAGCAATTCGAAAAAGTAGAGCAGAAAATTCCTCTCTCGATAACACCTTTAGGAAGAGCTTCCATCAGTAATGTATTTCACGTTCTGTGGAGTGAACATTGGCCCTCACCTGGGTCGGCCGGCAGGTACTGGAAGTCCATCGGTTCGCTGACCTCGCGGTCAGAGGGCCGGCGCAGCTGCATCTTGACTCTGATGGGCTCGCTGAGGTTAGTTTTGGGGTAAGGAGGTGTGCGGAACACGATGGCCACCTGCCTGTGGACGTCGGCCTGGGAGAACGTGCCCTTCCCCTCCCAGGAGTCCTGGAAGAAGCGCACCTCGATGTCCTCTGCAGAGGAACAGAACAAATGGGTAAATTCAAAGCGGCAGTTGCCACACTGGCAATGAGACCTCAGGTTGTGATTGCCGAATCAGAAAATACGGATGCTATTTTCACCTTAGATTTGGAGTTATCAAGATAACCAAGTTATACGTCAGCTTGATAAGGATAATGTAACATGAGGGATAAAATCTTTAATACAGTAACCAAAAATGTTATTTGTACTTTGAGTTGATATGTTACTGAGTGTTATCAGCTATTGGTTGCTCCACAACATCTCAGTAGTCTTTCAGTAAAGAAAGAAAAATAAGCCAATCCCAGGCAAAAGACTTTGTTTGATCTAAGATAACATGTCTTTGTTGCTCTGTTGATAATACAAATGAGAAATAAGAGATTGGAAGCAAATGTTGGTGAGAGATAATCTAAAGAAAGGAAACAGGAAGAGAAAGAGTTGCCGCGGTGCAGGGAGGCAGATTGTTCTAATAGCTTTGTTAGCGTACTGCAAAAAACATCCGATCGCGTGCACACACACACACACACACACACACACACACACACACACACACACACACACACACACACACACACACACTGGGAGGTGGCTAATTATCATGATCCGTTAGTAATTTATTCGAAAGGAAGAAAAAGGAGAAGCGTAATACAGGAGTGTTTGTGATTGACGGTCTGCTTTGCGTTACCCAGCGGTGTGATGGGCGAAACCTCACACGCGGTGGCCAAAAATATACTTCATACGGGTTGTGTGGGGGATGTGTTATTTAAGAACAGAGCTTTTTATTTTGATGAAATGTATATTTAGAGCAGCATGCTCCATCCCCCCCCCCCCCCCACACACTTTGGCCCTTGAACACAAGAGTGACATCATAACTTTATTAAGGTTGTCAATCAGGAGGGTTTTTCAGGCTAAAAGCAATGATGCCTATAAGTGATGGCAGCTCTTGGGACTGGAAAGCGTGTTAAAAAAAGGCTCAGAGTGGCTTATAATACCAAGAGTAACACCTTCATATTAAACATCAGTCATTTGATCCACCATTCAAGTAGAAACATGTATTAGTGCGGCTTAAAAGAGATTCTGATTGTTTGCATAGAACCCCACTGTGAACTTAGAGCCAATTGCCGGATGTAATACACTGTAGTGTAAGAGTCTGGGTTGTAATTTAAAGCACACAGCACATGTTTCTATCAGTATTTCTGAGAAAAGTAGACACAGTACAGACATATTGTACCTTTTTGCACTTTATCACACAGCAGAAAGATTTCGTCGCCTCCTTTGCAGCTGCCAGAGTTGCGGTTGACTCTGCAGATCTTCAGCTCCGCCGTGTTTGGGGCCCCTTTTAGAGAGGAAAAGCATTCATGTATACATAGACATACAAACACAGGATTACAACACACAAGATTTACAACAGACATCTTTTAAATGAAGAGGAATTTGGGCTGGACGAGTTAATATCGCAGCCCAAAATGTTCATTCCCTCTGTATAATTCCTTTTTTACCGGTTTGTACATAAAAGCGCTGGGAGCAGTTTATATGGTTTGTCTTTGAAGCAAAAAGCTTATTGCTCACTTTGTGAGGCTAGTGCTTTTACATTTTTTGAGGCTTATAAGAAAGGTTCCAACGGAAAGAGGAACACTGTCTAAGTGTATCACAGGTTACAAAGCAATGAAAAGGCGAGAGTGGGAACCTGCTTACAATACATGTTGGAGATGTGCTTGTGTGTGCACACGCGTGTGTGTGTGGCCCACTCACTGTTGTCATAGATGGGTTGCGATACCACCGGCTCCAGAGGGATCTGCTCCCCTGAAGCCAGAGTGAACGAGGCCTGGAAGCAAAGACGGACCGAGTTCAGGTCGAACTCCTCCTCCCACACCTTCGCCTCGGGGACTGCAGCCGAGACACACGGAGGAAAGGCAAGGAGGCCCAATCAGGCAAACACCTCGGTGAGGCAGAGCACCGCGTCCGGTCATATGAAGGTTATCAGGGTTAAATCAGCCAGGAATGGCGCTAACCAATTAAACATCCTGTTGCTAACGTAAGTGAATAGAAACCTCACTTTGCTAAAAAAAAAATCTCTTTTTGAAATTGGTTGAATGACAGAAATATCAGCTGTAGCTCAGAGAAACGATGGAGTCTTTGGTCATGGACTTAGCAGAGAAAGACCAACACAGAAAGCTTTGTGCACCCTCCTCTCCAGGCACCGCCACTTACTGTTGAAGGGGTTATTATTGGTCTGCAGCCTGCAGGTGATGGCCTCATTCACATCCTTCTTCTTGACACACTGAATGCCCAGATTCTGAAAACTGTAATGAAATGCAGTGTAAGACCCTGTTCTTTCTAATTAAACACTATAAATTCCTATATGTGTCCGATTTCTTTCTTTTTAAGGTGGAACAAAACACTGTGGCCCAGACCGCGGTGTGACTTTCTGGTAGTTTCCTGTCTAAAAAAGTTGACTCCATGAGGGCATGATTGACATCGCATCCGGCAACATGAACCAACGGCCCGCTGCGCTGGACGAGTTTGACGAGCTGATGTCGGCCGACGAGGACCGCCTGATTTGTCTCAAGCTGGGTTTGTCTCAAAATATTCCCAATATAGATTACACTTAAAACTGATGATACATTTCTCGGCGTCTAAAATGGGTCTTGCTGCTGCCCTCCGTCCACAGCAGCACATTGCTGCGCTGTATCACTGGTTCGAACCTTTGATCAACGCGTTAGCGTACATTCTTCCATGTGAACAACAGATGATCTAATCAGTCCGTATCACAATGCGCTGAACCTTCATCACACTCTTTGGTAAACACAGCTCTCTGTGCTCAGAAACATGGTTAAAGGACGTAATATCAGGTTCAACCATTATGTAAATAAAAGTATTTTGCAGGGCGCCGTCGTTGCGCTTTCTTTCCTACATCTTTGCCTGTAACGCCGTCACACAGGACACCACACTGAAAGCCGGGAGAGGTCACCTCGACTTGGCCGTCTGGTGGGTTTCGCTGTTAATGTTTCACTCTTCTCCAAACCCCAAACTTTTACCACGGCGACGGCAAACACGTCACCTCCCAAAAACGACGGCGTCCTTATCTAGAGCGATATTGAAACAAACGCCGCCTTGTATTAATGTCGAGCTGCATTCACACCCCCCGACCCCCCCCGGGCCCGTGTACCTGTGTATGCGTCTCTCCTGCAGGTCGGCCTCGTAGTAGCCGTGTTTGCAGTCCTTCCCGACCAGCTCGTGGGGGTGAGGCTTGTACGGTGCGTTCTTCGTCACCAATGAGATGCGGACGCGCAGGGGGCCGCTGTAGTTGTGGAGCTGTGGGGGGGGAACGTGTTGCATTTGAATGATTCCGAGTATGTCATGCTATGTAACATTGTTCTTATTCCACATTGTTGGGAGAGGTTAGCTTCTTGAACTGGCAACAATATTTTTAAAGAAAAACCTTAAAAGTTGCCTACTGAGTAAAAATATTTAGCTTGGCACACTGAACAGCTAGTAGCCAGGAGCAGAGTGTGTGGGATTTATAATATTATTTCATCTGTTTAACTGTATAATTCCTCCGTGTAAATGACAATAGACACAACTCCATAATGTATAAAGAATAGAACGTGAAACGATGAAAGTAACAACAGACAAAAAAACAACAACTCTATAATAATAATGGAATAAGTACTAAAGGAAGAGATTTTGCAGAATCTAATCCACCTACAGCACCAACACCTCTTTGATGTATTTGCTATTGTGTAATCTAAGACATGCTCCAGCTCACCTTGATGGCTGGGTGGGTCTTGGTGCTTTCGTTGCTCTTCTCTCCGGGGATGCTGCCGGCTGAACGTCCCTCACACTTGTACCTAAACCTCATCCCTCGCTGCTTCGGCTGCTCGATGATTTCTATGTAGGGGCTCCCTGCTTGTGCTGGGGGAGAAGGACAATGTGGCATAACTGCGGTGATACTGTATTTGGGAACATACCAAAAAAAACACAGCATTCACATTGTGAACCCCTCCCCGTCTGCGGCGCTTCGCTCAAATCAGTGTGTCAACACAGCAATCGCCGGCCCACAGTGTTGAAATGTTTACTCATGACGTCCAGCGCTGGTTCACATGGAACACTGAGGTTACGGGAACTGGCTTCTTACCTGGGTTGAGTGGGGTCAGGGACCAATTAAACACACCTGTGGTGGACAGAAAAGACAAGAGAAAAAAAAGACACGTCAACCAGTCGTTAGTCAAAGTCTTTAGAGGGATTAGTGGTGTACCAACCATAGTGCACAGAGGGAGAAAAAAAAGTAGGCTGCTTCCAGCACATATTTGTGGTTTAGTTCCAGTTTGTCATTTGTGCTGTGGTCTTGGTGGACAGTGCAGCGGCAAATTAGGTCAAAGGGTGCTGAGACAAGCTAAATTGTTACTACAAATCCGAATTACAGACTGGGTCAAGTGCAGCAAAAAAAGGAAGAATAAATGCAGAATAAAGCAAACAATGTTGACGGGCAGGGTGGAGTATCGGTGTCCAATTACTCAACTTGCAGAGAGGAGCCTCCATTGTGGGCAACAAGCAGGTTCTGGTTTCAGGTTAATGAATTGTTAAGATTCATAAATGTGAGGTGTGACACAGAAGCTCCAACATATAGCTTGTTGGACTTGTTTGATGTGAAAGTATGGATGAGATGTTTTGAAGTTGTCACATCCAACATAACTCATAGAATTTGGATCACAGGAGAATCTGTCCTGTCTTTTAGCTAAATGAAGTTAGGTTAGTAAGTGATTTTTAAATTAGACAAGGCAATAGAGACTATGAGTGTGTAATAATTACACTTTTGACTTGTTATTTGAGAGGCATCCTGGGCTACTTACTGGTTCTGGTGCAGTGAAAGTGAAAGTAAAATGTCGACCACCAGTTGGCCTTCACCAATCATTGAATGCACTAATAGCATCCAGACATTTGTGTGTGTGTGACTCACTTTCACTCAGATAGCCAAAACAAATGCTGACACTGCTCTCACATATTGTTGCCTTTTTTATGTTGATTCATTAGATCATTTAATGTTATTTTGTAGTCATTACTTTCAAAAATCCCCCAAAAATCTGTCTACCGTTGCCATATGGAAAAACCTATTAATAATGTATCAAACTAGAAACTACATTTAAAAGCTTTTGTCTGTCAGGTGGAATTGAAAAGGGATATCAAGTAGAAACATGGGACGTTATTTAATCGGCCCAAAATGTTCAACTTCGGTATTCCTCCCGTGAGACACGTAATTTACACCACATTGAGGATCCATTCCCATAATCCCCGCCCACTAATAAAATATGGTGGGCGGCTGCGCGCGGCGTGGATCAATCTTAAATATAACATGGTTTGTGTTTGAAACCAACGCTACCTGCTGGATTATACCTCAGCCGAAGTCAGCGGGATGTATTAACAGCAACAGAGATCATACATTAGAATGTGTTTTTTACAATAAAAAGACGGAACGCCAGCACATCGCTAGATCTGTGAACCAGGTTTGGCATCTCCAGAGACCGTGAGGTGGGACTCGCGCAGCGGGCCTGACGCGCAGCACGCGCCTCGCGCTCGCCACAGATTTAACGTTTAATTAAAGTAGGGTCGCTCCTCCGGCGGTGCGACGGCTCGCTGCCCGGGAGCGGAAGACTCCTCCTGTGAGCGCAAAGAGACAGCGGGGCTTTCCCTGTGCGCAGAAAACAACTCCCCGCAGTTTCACCTCCACGGTGTGAAGAGAGTAAACAGGCGGAGAAGAGAGCCGCGTTCCACTCACCCTCCATGTCTGCGTGCGCGCGTCCGACTTCCGCTTCTCCGTCGACGCAACTGTTTATCTTTAGTCGTGTTTATTCGTTTGTTTTCAGCTAAAACGAGCCGCAGACACGACAGCGAGGACTCAGAAAACTTCTCGACATTGCTGTTGTGGCTCCGCTCCACCCACCTCCGCGCACGACGGTGGAGCGGCAGTAAAGCTGGACGACGCGGCGCCGCGGCGCGGTTTCCGGTAAATAGCGCACGGATCGTTTAGGACGAAGTCACACTGGAGCACTAACGAAATGTGGAAAGGTCCCTTGTATTTATCCGATTTAAATAATCGCCGTACTGAGAAAGCAAATATACGTTATATATGCATACATATGAAGCCATTGATAATAAGAACATCAATAAGGAAAACATTGATTGAAATGTGTATTTTTTATTACTATAAATGACTACTATACTATAAATGCCTAACAAAAGAAAAGCTATACATGTGGCCTTTAAATATAAGCTGTGCACTTTATATAGTAGTTTAGACACTGTTAGAACTACATTAAAAAATACATTTCTTGTGACCTTTAGTTGAAAGTATCAATCACACACCCTTAAAAAATCTTTGGATTTTTACTGAAAAAGCGTCCAAGCACCAAAGTGCTCGCCATTTTCATGTTTAATAACTTTGTAAACTAATCAGTCGCGACCTAATTGAACGGGTTAATGGAGATGACACTCTTCGGTAAAAAGTAATTACGTTACTAGTGATAGCTTATGTAGTCGTAAAAAAAAGAGTACCAACTAAGTAATAGCGCATGTTTTTGTTTTCAAACTTTTATTTTGAAGGAAAAACCTCATCTGTTCTCTTTGCTGTTGCTCTGCATTGTAACTTGCCACCATCCACTCTGAACAGTGCGGAAATACCCAGATGACGCACTTAAAAGCAAGAAGAAATTACGTTTGAGTGGGAGAGGCAATAACTTCAGGCTTTAGTCATAACCTGGACCGAGTGTTACACTGACCTCTGCAAACATCTGTGTCCCGGGGATGGGCACATAGCGTCAATAAACATTAAGGGCTCCTCATACTTCTGTTTAATCTTTATTATTTGTCTTTTACTTTGTTTGTTCAAAGGAATAAAAAGTCATACAAATTGTTCGTCAGATGACCCCGCATACACACAGGTCATATTCTGACCAAAGGAGGGCGCTGTAGGTGAATAAATCACCACCTGACTTTTGCTGCCATCAACGTGCATTTCCCAGAACATATTTAGGGACTTGAACTGAACTACTTGTTTTCATAATGTAAAGCTTAGTTTGGGTACAGGTTGATCAGAAATACCAAACATATCAGACCTTAGTTCATCTTAGTTTTTTTAATCTTTTATAACATGATTCTTACAATGTAATATCGAACTAAGCTGTTGCAATGCCTGCTTTGTTGATGCTTTCAGTAACAAGCTGCTTTGGACTCTAAAGTAATGCAGGTAAAAAAAGATGAATGCTTGCTTGGAAAAGCATCAACAACTGTGATTCGTCCACGTACCTACGGATCCTATTTGTACTGGTGGTGGTGTTTGCATGGCTTTTTTTTCTTGTGCTGCTGCTATATTTTATTTAATTGTTTCAATGATAACACTTATAGCAATAAAGGCTATGGATATTTGTTGATTTTTGGAAATGAATGCAGAGTAATGCCTGTATGCATAGATAAAATAAACCCACACATCAGGGTATGACTATGATTTTAAATAATAATATTGTAACGTTCCGTGTCAATAAAGAGCCAGTTTCTTATCACTCGGGTTTATTGTTGCCTGTTGTCGGCCAACACCCGGTCATTTTCTAGTCAGAACTCAATTTCCCCTTCCTGTGCTCCCCGAAACTACACACATTACCCCGGAAGGGGTGGTACCCCAACCCTGGCCTACGTAACAGTAACATTAATCAGAATCACATACATTTATGAACGTAAGACACGCTACAATATGCAAAGCTATCTCCCCAACTCCGTTCTTCTGCTCTCTGCGATGAAAGCTAGACTGTCTGAGGTGTACTTGAACGCAGCGCACCAGTCCTTAACAGGAGCGGGAGGCCGGTGGGAGGAGGAGGAGGAGGAGGAGGTTGGCGGCGCGTTTCGCTGCCTGCTCCAGACTGCGGCCACTGCGGGCACAGCTGATTGCTACAGAAATGGCGGAGGGGGAGTTGGACGTCGACTCGCTGATTTCCAGGCTTTTGGAGGGTGAGTTTTCAAAGTAAACCACTGTCGTTCTATCCGGGTTTTGGAGGCTTTAATACTTCGGGGTGGTTTCGGCTTGTTTGGGACTCCAGTCGACTAGAAAAAAAAGCCCGCTTTTCGGGTGTCCTGTGTGTGTCCGCATACCGGGCCAGTCCCGCCAGGGAGGCATAGAGATCATACCCGATGGGACGTGAGAGTGTCCATGAACTGAGTTGGAGCGTGTGTTCACAATTTGAATCGAAACGTCTCAGGACTGTTGGTGCCGAACCGGGCGGGTACGAACGAACTCCCAACTTAGAGGATGATCGTAGCCTTCGTTGATGTCGTCATACCTGTGATACACTTTGACATCACCATGACGCGCACCTTAAAACCACCAGTTTTAAGAAGCGTTTACATTAGAAAACCCCCGAACCCCCCCAACCCCCCCCCCCCCCCCCCCCCCGTCCCAGCGTGGATGTGTGGATGCGGTGTTGTTTGTCCTCCGCCAAGAGAAACGATGCCGAGCTCTCAGCTGGGGTTCGGCGGAAGTATTTGTCATCTGAATGAAGTCTGACGTCACAGGATTCTGCTGTTCATATGAGAAGTATTGCTGAGTGGTGATGTTTACACAAGCCACAGTGTTTGATTACATTCCACTTGAAAAGTGAGACCTCCAGAGTTTGTTCCCAGTACCGAGTTGTGTTTTGTAATTCCATATCCAGTGAGGAGAGCTGAGTGCTTTCAGTTTAACACAACACTGTACAGATGTGAGCTTTTATCCTTCAAATTAGTTCATTGTCACCGAGCGCAGATCATCTCCTGAGCTCGGTCATGATGGAGACGATGAATATTTCTTTGTATGTCACTGATAAAAGGAGGTTTTGGATGGCAACGATTTTGAAAAGGGCCTGTGATGCGTTGTGCGTCCACTCGGGGATCGAACTCATGTGTGGATGTAACTTGGTTGTGTGAGGCTGCACTAAAGTCACTTCAGTGCTTTCAAAGAATGCATTGTTGTCCTCCACCATCGCTATCTGTGGATTCCGAGCAGTGCTAAATAAGGGAGCCTGACACGACGGAGCTGATCCGTCCTTCCGATAACACAGAGACACTGTCCCTCTGTGTCTGCGGGTCTCGATGCACACGTTCAGTGTGTGTGAAACGTACACAGTCTGGCAGCGTGGATGCTAATGATCCACCACAGATGTGCACCAGCCTGTCAGTATGTCCTAATCATCTGGGTTGATTAGGACCGGTTATATAATCCTGTGTGTCTGTGTGACAGCTGTACAGTAACAGCAAAGTGAGCCCGAGGTTCCCTGCCGTTGATTGTTAGCTGGCTGCATATTTAGCTGCTTTAATGCTACGGCTAGGAAACCTCGGTGGAGGAAATTGCAGAGATCTGGCGCTAAAGTTTTCCAGATGTGAGCTGTGAATACTTCCAACCATCCATCTTCTGTCCGCCATGTTCTCTTTCCACTTACAGCTGATGTGTCTCCGGCTGACTCATTTATGCTGTGAAAATACCAACTGGGAGGCAAAAGTTCCTAAATGCTAAATCCTGATTGACTGCAAGCTGTTCAAGAACTTTGCCAGAAGGCACTTAAAACTGGAAAAGGACCGGTCTCCACAGAAACGCCGTTCCTAAAGCTTCTTGTCATAATCTGCTAAACCACAGGTGTTCAAATTATTTTTATGGTCTTAATATCTAGTTTGACGTCTTTTTCAATACAGCGTGATGTTAGTTTGGTAAATAATGGTCCATTTAGAATAGAATAGACCATAAAGCAGGTTATGCTTCGCGCTGGGCAAGCGTGATTGACGGGTCAATGCCTTTACTGGGGGAGTACGTGGCGTCTCTGCATCACTCCTCCACATTCCAAATATGGTAACTTCCATTCATCGCTTCCAAAAAAAAGAGAAGAAGATAACAACGACAACATTGCTGAACTCGAAGCTCCAGAACATCCGTCCACCTACCAACTGGGGACATTATGACGACTACGTCCACTCCTTGTTTACAGTCAATGGAGTGTATGCATTCACAGTATCACAGAAACTAAAGCAATACATTTGAAAAACACACATTTTCTATGATTTTAGTACAATTTAAAGATTTTTCTTTTTTAAACTTGAACCTAACCGTGTTCTCCTGTATCACCTTCCCCTGGACCGAAACCCACTCAAATGTTTTCATGAGGGCTTGACCTTTGAGCACCTTTTGAGTCGGTTCACTTAGTTGGGTAGTTGTAGTCTGGTCAGTACATTGGTGCTCTGTCCACTGGCGCGAGTGCCACATGCGCGCCTACACGGACATATTCCGCACGTGTCTGTGCGAAACTGGCGTGCGTGGGGAGAGAAAGTTTAGTTCCTGACTTTTTCTTTGGGGGGGGGAGGGGGGGTGAGAAGATGGGGCTCGTTATAACCGAAAGGTAAACACTGAGCTAGTCCTAACCAGGGAAGTCTTGGCTAATAAAACGGCAGCTTCTTTTACACTTGGAACGCAGGCTGAACTCTCACTTCTTTAGTGAGCGCTGGTGCCAGTCGGGAGATCCCGTACTTAAGACATGTACTGATCTCCTATTAAATGTCAACAGGCACAGCTGTCTGTGGTAGAAATTAACTTACCCTTTTGGTGACACCGCCAGGGGGGGGTGGGGGGAGGGGGGGTTGCTCCTGCTCGCCAATGAGGTCTTTCACATTTTCGTTCTGATTAAAAAGTCTGATGGGAGTAGTTGGTGGTTTTAAAGTTTGGTAATAAACACGAGCATTGGAGACACTGGAGACAACCAGACACACTCATGCGCACAATGTGCCGTTTGGTGGAGGGGGTGAACTAGACCAACTGACAACGTGGTTTACAGTCACCGCGGCCTCCTCGGGGACCTCGGCGGCCACGTTTTTTAGTCTCTCTGGTTTCATTTGTCATTCGTCATACGCTGTCTCATGACCTGAATAAAATGGCATTCATGCTGTCTCCCTGTATGTAGACGTTACGCCATCTGAGGTCCTGTCCTGTCACTGGTTCACATGTATAACCGCACGGCGACCTCTGGTTGAGAGTGAAACCCGCGTGGAAGTGCCTTAAACCTGCGTTATCTCCATTGTATATGTCCATCAGGGGCGGAGACTGGTTGTATAAAAGCATAAAGCAGGGTAGTATTTAGGACGGGGCTGACGGGTCTCTATCGGATCCGTATACGGCTTCTCGACTTTACGCCTCCACAGTCCAATTATGGTCACATCCCTTCGCTGGTTGCAAAAATCAAAGATGACGACGGCCAAAATGTCGCGTTCAAGGCTTCCGATAACTGTTGACAAACGGGACAGTGGCAGCGTCGAGCAAATGCCGTAGTAATGTGACACGGATTGTGGCACGCTCAAACTTGTAGAACATCATCCACCTCGCAAAAGGGTTCACGCCTCTTCCAATCGGTCAGGGCCACATTCCACAGGCATTGTGGGAAACCAGTTGTAGTAAAGTATCTGCAGCGTGTTTCACATTTCACAACCAAGTCAGCGCTGACGTTGCAGTTTTCACAATATTCATAGCAGTCCTTCATCAAGCCGGACTGTCCACCTCCTGCCCCGTGCGCCACAGTGAGCCGTGTCAGCCCATGCTGAGCCACAACGGGGCCTCTGTCTGGCCCGGGCGGCACAGGTGTGGCCCAATCCATCCGACGGCCCCCATACGCCCACCGGTAAGAGCGGCGGAGGTGCGATGGAAAGATGTAGTTTAATAAGCTGAGACGCAAGCCGAGCTTTAACCCGGTATGAGAGCGTGACTTCTTTCCAAAGGCCATTCCTGTTCACCTGCATGTCTCAGGCGTTGGCATTTGTCAGTAAGGAAGTTGGAGCCAGTAGTGCTGGTACAAGTACATTTTAAAATATGGCTACAGTTGCCTCCTTTAAAGGGGTTTGACAACAAGGTTAAGAAATGAAAATATTCAAATTATAGCTCACAGTTGAACTAATAACAATGGAGAGGTACCTGATTCCACGGGAATCACAACTGTCCTTTTTTAAAGTGACTCTCTAGTGGCCCTCGTTTACGGGAACGTTAAAAAAAAGGAATTTAGTTTTGTTCAATTAACAATTATTATTATTATTATTTATTTAACTAGCACCAACAGTAGCCAATCCTAAAATACAGGTAATTACCAAACCTAAATGTAGCGTGTTGAATGGAGCCATTCGACACGCTACATTTCAGGGATTTAAAGATAAATGTGACAACGTCGGGCTCTAACAGAGAGTCGTGTATCCTGGAGCGGTTGCCGCTGTCGTTGTTTATTTGTGCGAGAAGGCGGTGGTGCCCGTCACTGATTGGTCGGGATTTCTCACCGCTTCCTGGTCCGTGAGAGCTTTTCTGCGAGCGGTCAACACGATCGAGAGCTCGACAACAGGCCGGTGTTGTGCGCTCTCATCGCACCTTGTGCGTTGGCGTCACCCTGCCGCTGCGTGGCGTTCTGCTACGCAAACGACAATGGTGGAGCCTGTGTGGCGGGGAGCGCTCGCGCCCTGGCACCGAACGTGGCACCGGCGAGCTCACCCGAGCTTTTCAGCCTGCTCCTTCTCCTCTGTGCCCCCCCGCCCCCCTCTTTCCTTGGCTCCTGTTTGTTTGTGCCTCCTCCATTTCGTCCTCTCTCCTCGGCCCCACAGAGACGCCATTCACCCCGGGACACTTAGAGGCGAACAAAACGCCCTCTGAAAAATGCCACAGAAATGCCATCGCACTCGGGATTCCTGCTCCTAGACTCCTCGCCAGAGTGCGCTCACTGAGGGGTCAGTGTTTTCCATCGGTCCCCACGTGGGAGAGGGTCAAATGGACCCGGGGGCGAGGGTGGGGGCGTGCCGCTGGCCTCGTGCCCAGTTGGCAGAGAATTGACGTGGAGGGCTAAAAAGGTCTGACGGAGCATCTTTGTTGGTGCACACGCGTCATACCTGCTCATTGCTCCCGGCTGTGCTCCACCCCTGTGAACACCTTTAAAACATGTTTGCGTGGCAATTAGAGAAGATGT